AAATTCTAAAAAACATTTTTCCATCCTGAATTTTAGTCTTCTCTGAATATGCGGTGTGCGGCATTCATCTTGCCAAGGTACAGAGTAGTCTTTCTTTTGCAGCTGGCTGTTCTTGGGAAGTCTTAGCAGTATGGAAGATAAAATACTGCTTTCATTTGATGTCCCCCTGCCTCCCCGGCCTTCTCAGCAAATTCTGTCTTTATTTAAATAGGTTCTGTATTTGGAGCAGTTTTTTGGTGACAGTTCTGAAGGCTGAAATCTGGTATACTGTAGAGCAGGTGCAACACAAGCAGTTGATGTGACATGTCTTCCAGGAGTGGGGTGCCCATGAGTATGTACAAAGTAGAGCCCTCCGTTCTGTGTCAGCCATGCTGGTAGCGGCACCGACCAGGGGAGGAGTGGTCTGTGTTTTAGGACTGACTGCTGTAACCTGGGATCTGTCTTCCCATCACCATCTCGTTTTGCAGATGACAAAACAAGAAACAGCCACAAATCCTTAGTGCTCATATCGGTTGTTTCTTCAGAGCTGCTGGAGGGTTTGAGTTCTCTGTGCTACAGCTTAATCAACCTTTGAAACTTCTTAATAACCATTTCCCTTGCAAGAGTTGAGAACTTAGTGTTTAGCTGCTAGTGCAAAAGTTTTGGTGATGAATAGTCTTTTCACAATGTCTGTTATGTGTACCTCTGTCTCTAATACAGCCATAGTAGAGATTTAGTATTTAAGACTGAGTATTTCTGTGATGTCAGTTCTTTCAGAACCTATCACAGAGGTAAACATAACGGTATTTAGACGGTACTAACAGCTTATCATACTCCTGTTGACAGTCGCTTAAATGGATATATGGGTGTTACTGACAGAGACATTCAAATGAGACTGTTTTGAGAGACTCCATTGTAGATAGGAATATATTGTGTTGTACTCAAACCTGACATTGTAACTTGGAGGTCCCTGACCTCTGCTTCAGCTACTGGGTCATATTATTACCTTATTCTAGGATGTCCAGTGCTGGGTGTATGGTGACAGGTATTATCAATTCACCCTAGTGGGCTTTGGATAAATAGTTTATTTTCTCTTTTACAAATGTCATGATTTTCTTTCTTTTTCAGTCTTTGATCCCTATATTGTCAAGGGAGAGGAGGGATTGGTAAAGCATGGCTTGCGTGCTGTTAACGTGGTTTGATCCCTGTGGTTTGGAGGGGTTAATGGAGGATATGCAGCCTTAGAGTGTGGTTTGGTGGTGGAGAGCAGAGGGCATTCAGGGACAAATAGTCTTGATTCTCTTACAAAGGTTTGCACACAACGTTAATACTAGAAAGAAAACGTTTTGGATGTGTATATATTTTAAGAGGTAGACTTTTCAGAGGCAGCAACCAAAATTCTCTTGCAGGTATGTCGACATATTAAAAATGGAGATGTCCTTTTACTGAACCGCCAGCCCACTCTTCATAGACCCTCCATCCAGGCTCACCGGGCCCGAATCCTGCCTGGAGAAAAAGTGCTGAGGCTTCACTATGCCAACTGCAAGGCTTACAATGCTGACTTTGACGGTGATGAAATGAACGCCCATTTTCCACAGAGCGAGCTGGGGAGAGCAGAAGCCTACACCTTAGCCTTTACTGATGAACAGTATCTGGTTCCAAAGGTAAGTAAAACTGTCAATAAATTTATTCCTAGGTGAAATCACTTTGATTTGTTTGTTTGTTTTGTTTGGTCTGATGATCAATGAGATTTTGGTGGTGGTGTGTTTTTAATTTATTTTTGACATTTATTCATGGTTTCTGTTCTCTCTCCACGTGTGGTTCTTTTTGTCTAAAGAAGGCCCAGCACATCCAAACAATCTTGTTCCTTTTAATGTCCATGTCCAGAAGAGATTTACTAGACGGTTGGGCTGTGATGAGGAGTTCTTAACAAATTACTTCAGTGCTTTTATCCAGCTGGAATAATTTTGGGAGCTGCTAGCACATGACTTACTATCCCCCCCTTTTTTATTGTTGTCTGTTTAGGATGGGAAGCCCCTTCCTGGCTTGATCCAGGATCACATGATTTCTGGAGTCAGCATGACAATCCGGGGCTGCTTTTTCACCAGAGAGCAATATATGGAGCTTGTTTACCGAGGACTAACAGACAAAAAAGGAAGAATTAAAATCTTTCCTCCTGCCATTGTGAAACCACAGCGATTATGGACAGGAAAGCAGGTAGTTTATCATTTATTTGGTTAAAGAATGCTGGTGGTTCCAAAGTAAGCAGAATGCTAATGTTAAAACCAGTGCTGCTGAGGGTTGCTGAAAAGCCAGATCCCGTCATCTAATCAACGTAGATCTCGGTGTGTGTTACTGAGCTACGAGAGTCATCTTTCATTTAAAGTTACAGTGTTAGAATAGTGCTTTTATTTGCTGCTCTGAACAGTGTTGCAGATAGAAGTGTAATGCTGCAGTTTACAGGCATGGAGCAAAGAAGAATCTGTTGATCACAGTAAACTCAGTTATGGCAGTCAGTGCTTTTAAATCTCTGAACTTAAAGGTAAATATTCTAGTGTTTGACTTTTAGGTTGATGTAATATCTGGGAAGCCCAAGTGAGTGCTCAGTTTTCTGTTGTTTAAGAGAGTTTAACATTCAGTCCAAGTATTATGTCTCCTAGCAGAGTAGGGAAAATTCTCTCGCAGTTTTTCCTGTAAAACCCAGCAGACAACTTTTTTTTTTTTTAATATATATGTGTGTATATATCTGATTATTGGAAAAATCTTTAGTGTCATATGTTTCTTAATAATTATGTGTCTCAGCTCATTGGCCTTTCAAAGGCTAGAGTAGCAAGAGGATATTCCTGTCTTGTAAGCTTCATATTTCCGAGCTTTTAAAGCTTTGCTGTCACTGGAAGAAATACATGTGGGATGTTGCTTTTCTCCTCCACGCTAAATTCTTTATGTTGAAAAGGGAATATAGGAAATAAATAGTTCCTGCCACTCTTCTTGCTTCTTTATAGGTTGTTTCTACGTTGTTAATAAACATAATTCCAGAAAACTGTGCGCCACTGAATTTGACTGGGAAAGCTAAGATTGGTGGAAGAGCCTGGGTAAAGGGGCCTGCAAACAGATGTCTAAATCTTGATTCAATGTGTGAATCTCAGGTATGCTGGGGCTGGGGCTCTGGAGGTTGGGCTGGGCTGTATTGTAATAAAATTGTGTATACAGTAGAGGAATGGGAAGGGAAGCAGGTAGATGACAGAGTTCAAAACAGATACTCAGCAACAGTTACTGCCAGAAGGTGCTGATTAGAGGATAGGCCTGGGGGTCGGGAAAAACTCTGTTCTGATCCTGACTGATACAGATTCCATCTGGTTTTGTTAGACCACGTGTCTTCGTTGTTTGACTTTATAGGTGGAAAAATATGGATGGTGTTAGAAGTTTTATTTCTGCTATAAATTTTAGAAGTATAGATAATGACTGTATTTAACTGTACACCAGTACGTGGGCTTTTTAAACTTAAAGCTGTTTTCGTGTAGATTATAGAGTAAAACCTGTAGAGATCATAGTAAGATCAAAATTTCTGTTTCCCTAAATAGCTGTGTTTTATTTTTCAGGTTGTTATTAGAAATGGAGAATTGCTGTGTGGAGTATTGGACAAAGCTCACTTTGGCAGCTCTGCCTATGGCCTGGTCCACTGTTGCTATGAAATCTATGGGGGTCAAACCAGTGGGAAAGTGCTAACATGTCTAGGACGTCTCTTTACTGCTTATCTGCAGCTGTACAGGGGATTCACAATGGGTGAGTAACAAGGCCTGCAATGGGCAGTTCAAGGACTGGTTCACTAGTGCTGTAGTGCAGCACCTCCTGAAATAAAAACCAGACATTGTTGGGCATAATACGTGCTAAGAGTTCTGTAAATAACATTTTGCAAGACTGTCCTTGAGTGGGATAGCTGTTTGCCAGCCGTTTTTTTGGTCTTTTTTTTCTGTTCTGGTTGGTGCATAGGTGGCCTTAAAAGAAAGTGTCATCTTGAATATGCCCATCAAGTTTTCTCTTCTTCCTGCTTAGTCAAAGTGTACGCAGTCTAAATGTCATGTGTTGAAATTTTATTTAGATCAAAACCTCCCATGAGTCTTTGTTATTTTTACTTCTCTGAAAAAGAATTGTTGCATCGAAACCAGAACAACTGATAAAGTGAGATGCAAGAACTTTGAGGGGTTATTAATCCAGTCTTGCATATCTCATTCAACTGTAAATCTTTTGGTAAATGTTTGACTTTCATTACAGCCTTGCAAACTCACGCAAAAATGCACTTGGCCTGCAATAAAAATTTGACCCTTCCTGTACTCTCTGTTCTTGCAATAGTTGAAATATTTCAAATTACCCTGTAGAGCTTTACAAGATGTTTTCATACTAATGAAATACTTACAGTATATAGCAGCAGGAGGGTTTAGATTGGCTTTTATTTAGGTACAATATGACCACTTAGAGTTACGTAGACATGGTCAACTGGTAGACAGTGATCGTGAGGAACCAACAGACTGCTGTGAGCCAAGGAAAAGGGAGATCTGTTGAAGTACAGACAGTGATTAATTGACTGTAAGGCACACAAAATATGTCTTGAGAGCCAGGGTGCAAAAAAAAAAAAATGAGCCTGGGATCACTAGGTAGGTGAAACGTCAGAAAAAGAAAAGTGGGGCTGGAGCAGGAGTCTGGGATTTGGTGAAGATGAAATGATTCGAGACAGCAAAATGAGACTTTGGGATGAGCTGAATAAGGTTCAGGAGAAGAAGATAGGAAGTAGAAGAGACAAGGTTGTAATGGGAAAAGGAGAGCAGGGCTGGACAGAAGGTGAAAATAGAGGGTCGTGTGATGGGGCTATAGGCTCCTTTGCCTCGTAAACGTGGCAGCTCGCTAGTAAAGTGTCCCTCTTGTCTCCCTACCGCTGGGAGGAACCTCAGGAGGTGATGTAACGCAGCTCCCTGCTCAAAGCAAGTCCTGCCAGATGAGCTTGTGCGGGGCTGTGTCCAGTCAAGTTGTGAATATCTCCAGCGATGGTGATCGTACAAACTTCCTGGGTCCCTGGACCAGCATTTGATCACATACATTGTGAAATTTTTTTTCCTCTTGAAGAAAATTTTGTTTCCGTGTATCTTTAAAGGACAAACACATCGTTCGGCCTCTCCTCGCCCACCGTGTGCTGCAGCCATTTTAGTGACTTGCACAGAACTCCTTACAAATAGCTTACAGGAGTTAGTCTGATTGGTTCTAAACTGTTGTCCTCCTGGTCCCATCATCACAAGGGTCTGTATTTTTAATTTACCTTTTTAAAAAAGCTAGGAAGTGACAGAGTCTGCAAAGTTCAGCTAAAAGGAACTTTAAAGTGGATGGAAGAGAAAAAAAATTTGACGTGGCTGGCCTGTAACACATTTCTTTGTGCAAGTGCACCAATTAACATTTTTATAGGCGTTGTTGAAGTTAAGGCTTGTTAAGTTAGGGGGTTGATTCTGCACCCTTAATGCTTAGCTTAGTTGATGCTGCACTGTTTTTTTGGCAGCCTATGCCTTCTCCCTCAAGAAGCCACTCAGAATTTTGTTTTCTCGTCAGACTGCAGTTAGCCTGATTTTTAACAATCATTATATCTTTATTTGTGACTTTCAGCTCTTTGCTTTCAAAATCCCTGACGCCAAATGTGGTTCTTCCTCAATCCTTTTTTTTTAGTTTAGTTCTTTTTTTCAGTTTTCATTCCATGGTCTGTCTCTTTTTAACAGGGATTGAAGATATTTTGGTTAAACCTGGAGCGGACCACAAAAGAAAAAAAATCATTGAAAAGTCAAGCCAGTGTGGTATTGAAGTGAGTCTCTTCTGCAGAATTTCCCCCCCTCCCCCATAATTAAAAAATTTTGAAATCCTGCCCTGTTTAATCATGCCTGCTTAGCACCTAAAACCCCCCATATTTTACTTTCAGGCTGTTAGAGCTGCTCTTAATTTGCCAGAAACAGCATCATGTGAGGAGGTCCAAGGGAAATGGCAGGATGCCCATCTCTGCAAAGACCAGAGGGATTTTAACATGGTTGATCTGAAATTCAAGGAGGAAGTAAACAATTACAACAATGAAGTTAACAAGGTTGGCATTGAGGCATCTGTGTATACTAATCTTGTTTGGAGACTTTCTTATTAAGTTAATTTAGTGTTGATGAGGGGCCCCTGACTGTTCTGGAGGCTGAAGCTTTCCATCTGCCCCCAGCACAAGGCTTCACATACTGCCTTGCCACCTCAGCCTTGTCCTCGCTGAATGAGGAGATGGCTTGATATTCAAGACACTTCTAAAATTATAAGTAGGAATGTTTGTGATTACTCATCGTTTCACTTTCTTAAAGCCTTCAACAGGAATTGCTTTGGTTTATTATTTTATTAATAATGGTTTGGTTTTGTTCTCTTCACCCCACCACAACCCTTTAGGTTTGTATGCCCCTTGGTCTCCACAGGAGCTTTCCAGAGAACAATTTGCAGTTGATGGTCCAGTCAGGAGCCAAAGGATCCACTGTAAATACAATGCAGGTAATGACAGCTAGAATACTTAGCAGCTACATGTGTTGATTGGTTTGTCCTAGAATGTAAGCTATTGAGAAGCTCTTGTGTGGTTATCTAATACCAAAGCAAGATTTTTATTCTGAGCTTTGGGAATGGAGGCGTTTGGCATGGAAAAATTTTAGAAGTATGTAGTAAAGACGTCAGTGGGTGATGGAGGAGAGTCAGTTTCCGTTATAACCTTCTATTTTTGCATCAGTTCTTAGTAGGTTAAGATTTATAGGAACAGCAGACCTTCTTGTTAACAGGAATGCTGCAGGTCATACGAACAAACCTACTGTAGGAGAAAGAGAACTTTTCCTGGCCTCTGTTGGAGACTGACCCCTCTGTTTCCTTCTTCCACAACTGAATAGGAAAAACTAAAACTTTCTTTGATTTTGGTTAAGATGGCAAGGATGCTTTTTCATTTTGCCTTCTGCAATACAGACAGCAAGCAATAAACGCTATCTAAAAAGACCATCTCAAATTCTGTCTCTGGTAAGAGAGAATGACCAAAGCTTGAGAGAGAGATAGAGGATTTTGTTTGGGTTTTTTGTCCTGTTTTTAGTACACTGCTGAGAGGTGGAGAGGGTAAGGTAGGGACCTAAAACATACTTAGAGTATTTTTAGTTTCACATCTCTTCGTAGCAAAATAAACATGCAGAGTGAGAATGGAAATGTTGAGGATGAGTCAGGGGGCTGGCGTAACTTAAAAAGACCAGATGAGATCTACGTGCCTTTTCTGCCCGTCAGTAGCAAGAACATTTAATGAACATGTTGATATTTAGTTAAAAACACTTAGTGAACATTTTAGGTTTTTTACTATGTTTTTCAAGAAAAACTGTTGAACTTACATGAAGAAAAAGTTGGATGGAAAACCGATGTTTCCTTTTTTCCTGTCCACATTTAGATTTCGTGTTTGCTGGGCCAGATTGAGTTGGAAGGTCGAAGACCCCCACTGATGGCATCTGGCAAATCGCTGCCATGTTTCCAGCCTTATGATTTTTCCCCCAGCTCGGGAGGATTTGTGACTGGCAGATTTCTCACTGGGATCAAACCTTCTGTAAGTTTAATACTGCTTGTGCTTATACTGAAGTTCATTTAAATCTTGGTCTTTTAATACAGAGTGTCTGTGATAAAGTGACTTTGTTCACCCTACTTTCATACCTAGCTTTTGAGAACGAGCATAAATTGCCAGTCTTGGTGTACTTGTCAGCACAATGCTGATGGTGGTGTGCTTCTGTTTTTAGGAATTCTTCTTTCACTGCATGGCTGGCAGGGAAGGTCTCGTGGATACAGCTGTCAAAACCAGCCGTTCTGGGTACCTACAAAGGTAAGAGGCTTGGTTAGAATTTGAGCCTTTAAAGGTCCTTTTGTTTGTTTGTTTGTGTTCTTTTTGGTTTTGAGGAGTACTCTAGACTGGAAGAAGCACCTGTATTGCTTAGATTAACTTCAGTTTACTTGCTTTTTAGCAAAGTGTTTACTATTTGAGTGTTGAATGTTTGTTCTAAGGCTGACTTTCTAAAGGACTAGATCAAGTGGAACTTTTATCATCTCTGACTTCTCTCTGGCACATAGCAGCAGGAAGTTTTCCTTTTGGAGAGATCTTTTTCCTGGTACGAGTAAAGATCTACAAATTCCAGGCAACTAGTTTTTCTTGGCCGTGTTGTGTGGCCCTCGTCTTTATTCAAGCAACACCTCCAGTATATAAAAGAAGATG